ATATCTCAAGTAGGGGTTTGCCTATGAAAGGCACTAAGAGGCTGCTTTCTTGGCCTGCCCTGATCCCTTGAAATGTGTCTCTTTTTAAAATTCTTTTTTAATTTACATTAACAATAGACTATACAATATATACAATATGTAATACAAACTTACCTTTTTCAACACATAGGTTTCCATAATAAAAAATTAACATTTAACTTTGAATCATTCTCACACAAGTTTTATTTTCAAATCATTTATTACAATTACTTTGCAACTTTTTTTTAGATAATCACTAAGCATTTTCCAATCCTCTTCTGTGTATTCGTCTGTTTTTCTTCTCATCAAACTTGTTATCTTGTCCATTTCTGCAGTTTCCAGCAAGTTAAATAGCCATTGAGCAATCATAGGTGTCACCTCTTTTTTCCAAAGACTGGCATAGGCAATCTTGGCACATGATAACCTAAAGAAAATTGTTCTTCCATACTTCCTTTCCATGTCTGTATCTTATATAATTCCCACAATATATTTTCTCTTTTAAGTCCTGGAAAACTAAGGCAATGTTCTCTCTTAAAAGTCTCCACCTATTTAGGAATATCTAAAGGAGGTGTTTGCCCATTGAAGGCACTAACTGGCTGCTTTTTTAGCCGGCCATGATCCTATGAAGAGAATCTCTAAAGGAATCTTTTCTTTCAGTCTCGTAATATCTAAAGAGGTGTTTGCCCATTGAAGGCACTGATTTTTTCGACTGTCATGATTCCATGAAGGAAATATCTATGGGAATCACCTCTCTTTAAGTCTGTTCCTAGTTTAAAATATCTCAAGCAGCGGTTTGCCTATAAAAGTCACTAAGAGGCTGCTTTTTTGGCCAGACATGATCCCATGAAGGGAATCTCTATGGGAATCACCTATCTTTAAGTCTGTTCCTAATTTGGAATATCTCAAGTAGGGGTTTGCCTATAAAAGGCACTAAGAGCCTGCTTTTTTGGCCAGCCATGATCCCATGAAGGGAATCTCTAAAGGAATTTTTTTCCTTTAAGTCTTCTAGTAAAGAATATAAGAATATTAAGGTCCAGCGTATATTCAAATGGTTGGAAAGCCTTGAAAGATCATGCTGAAGTTAACTGCTCTGAGAAGCAACACTGCCAGAGATAGACCTCAAGGCTGGCTGGTTTGGATTTATGCACAGGAACAAGAGTGGGGGTGCGTGTTCCATCTGTTCATTGGCATGTAAAGTTTTGCAAAAAAAAAAAGAGGAGTGACACTTCTTTTGGCACTGGTAGTTTATAAACTCCAGGATGTCCAAGACTAGTTTAAGGCATGTAATAGCATATCCTGGAGTGTGAGCCATGAATGTATGCATGATAGTCATTGTTTGTAATGAACTGTGTGCATGTGGAACCTTACCTTTGAC